TCCCGTAGCTTAATTAAATGATATTTTTATCATATTTCATCCAAATAAAATAAAGTATATTTATCCAATCATGTTGTTTACAAATTGTTCATATCATGTGATTCATTTCATCATCCATATTGAAATATATCACATCGTGTGCATGCGCAAGAGATCAGGCAGAAGTGCGTCTCTTGTAGTTGTGATTGTGCGGGACTTAGCAGTCCGACATCACGGACCGGGCTTAGTGTACGTACATGGTACTTAGGCTTTCGAGTACCACCCCTATTTCTGCGTGAGTTCGTCTTACAAAATGGGCGAATCTCATAGTTCAAGGCTTGTCCTTGTGACCTAGAATCATACAGCATGAATTCATCATCAAGCAAATGCAATCATTATGACTATGTATGACATTTATTACGTATCACAATCATCATTTGAGCATACATGCTATATTATGTCATATCATGATAATTATGTCTACTTGCTATTCAACTTGGAATTGTTGTATTAGCGTATTGCTCAGCTAACGCTGAGCGTGTAGTTTGTTTTACTTGCTACACGCAGGTAACAATACTGATCATGGAGCCCATCCTGGAGGTCAATGAGAGTGACGAGATGTACGGACTGGTGGACCACATTTATGATGTTTTAATTAAATAAATACCTTTTCGGGCGAGAACCCAGAAAAATGTAAAACAATTTGATTATGTTTTATATTTAAGCTTCCGCATTGTTTCAGCGATACTCTGAATTTAATATTTGAAATTATCATTTATATTAAAGTTTAAATTGGTTTTAAATTATTCCTCAAATTATTATACGTATTTACCATCATGGTAACTACTTCGGCTCAAATAATCTATGTAATTGGGTTATTCGAGTTGGGGTGTTACAACCATGGCTATGAAAGCTTGTATGATTTCAGGAGCATTACTTTTAGCAGATAACAAATATGTCCATGTAGCTCTTGAAAAATCATCTACAATGGTGAGAAAAAATTGAAATCCATTGTATGTTTTTATGTGATAAGGACCCCATAAGTCAATATGTATGAGTTCAAACAACTGAGTAGAATGAGTTACACTAGTGGGGAAAGACAATCGATGTTGCCTAGCCTTGGGAGAAATATCACAGCAAGATAAAGAAGATGGTATACAATCAAAAGAACAAATTTGTTGAAGTTTGTAAAGAGGCAAATGGCCCAATCTGTGGTGCCAAAGAACAGCATTGTTTTCTTTACAAGCTTTATTACATTGAAATGAATTGCAAGAATCAGAGAAAACAGTACAAAAGGGCTCTGGATTTTGAGAACAGATGGGCGTGACATAAAGACCACCTTGTCTTTTTCCAAGTTCCACTGATCTATTCTTGGAAAGGTCCTGCAAGATACACGTATCCTTTGTGAAACAGAGTTTATAATCGGATTTGGTGCACAATTTGCTCATGGATAACAGATTAAACTGGAAATCAGGAACATAGAAAACGTTTTCAAGGACAATATCACATGGTAAATGAGTTGTTCCTGTTTGGTGGACTCTGATTTTCTGATTTTGGTGTTGAGAATCCAAGACATGACCATGTCATTGCATATCTGCCATTGATTCGCCTTTGAAGCATCGTTAGGTTTATCAATTTCTCCTTTTACAAAATCAAGCTTGTTCTTCGCAGATAAGGCAATAGCCATTGATTTTTGCCATGATCCAAATCCTTCACCTTCAAATTTTGTGGAGACCAACAGGAGACCAGGATGATCTGAAGGACGTAAGTACAAAAGATCGGAAGGATCAACTAAGCTTGTATTCCCAGATGTAGCTGACGCCATTAGAGGATTTGTCGAAGAAGACGAAGAAAACTGAATCGCAAATCAAATCAAGAAAAGCGAAGAGATCTGATTCGGAATATCTGAATCGCAATCAAAAAAATAAAAATCAAAGCTCTGATACCATGTTGATTTTGATGATGATCGCGAGAAAGAACAAGAAGATGAACAGTACAGCGGGAATTTTATTCAGTGTGAGGCAAAATCAAATCAGCTAATACAGTGAAGGGAATATAACTTTTATACTAGAAGAAAAAATAAAGAAGCTAATCAGCTAACTACCGTAACAAAACTAACCACCGTAACCGTACAGTAACAAACCCATAACAAACTGTGGTTAATCAACACTCTAAACAAAGTGCTAAGTATTACTTCCAACAGGTTTCACCGCTAGAGTGTTCTTGTTTGTTTGGTCAGATCGACGATATGAAGAAGGAGACCAGGAGTTGAATTGAGAGTTCTAGCAAGAAAATAAATTCAGTTTCTAAAATCGCAATTTGGCTACAGGATTTTCAAGTTGCTGCAATTCGGCCCTTCTTTATATTTTGACCTTAAAATTTAGAAATGACCATAAACTAATCCAAATTTGCTAAACCAATGAATTGGTGATAGTTGTATGTTGTATTCGAATTGTGAAATAGGCCACCTAGTAAATCTAAGTGAGTTGAATTGAATATTGAAAATCATCAATAGGATTGAGATAAGAAATTAAGGTCATGTGGGTGTCGTCACACACCTGATAGTCTCAAGAGTTAAAACGTACGTACAAAGGTGAGTGACTTGCTGGTGAGAGCCAGTGGAAGCCTTTGTTGGGAAACGAGGCTTGGATGACGTAGTGGAAAACAAAAATTTGAAGTCCAAAACTCGATTCCACCCGAGAAGAACTTACGTATATTACTAGCTATAGTAAGAAAGTTACCTTAATGGTGAAAACGGAGAACGGAGAAACGGTCGGGGATGGTTTTTAGGAGATGAACGTAGCGCCGAACGTATAAAGCCTCCAACGTATCCACACAAACTTGCTCCAGAGTCCTAGATTAAACTTGTGCTAGCAAGTTTAACATAGGATAGTAAAAACTATAATAACACTACTTTGAGAGTAATAAATATATAGTAAAATATATATCTTACAAATATTTCTTTATAATATTTTGTGTATATTTCTAACACCTTAGAAAAATGACTTTGAACACAAAAAAATATAATTTCTCTCTCTTTCTTGAGGTGGACGAAAATCACATTTTATAATATAATACTTAAAGGAATATTTAGGAAATTACTTAGGGACAAAAGAAATTAGGGTTAATGTAATGTCCCCAACCAACACAACAAGACAAATATTCTTTACTAATCAAATATTTGATTATATCAATCAAATATATCATTAGGTGGAAAATCAAAATATGTTTTGTATTTTCCCCTTTAAAAAATTGGCACCCACAAACAAAATGCATTATATTTTATTTTGACATCAATAATTATCATATAATTAAAATGATGAAAATAAAAATAATATATATATATATATATATAATCAATATATATATATATATATATATATATATATATATATATATATATATAAAATCATATATATATATAAATTTATAAAATATCCTTATCTAACCCCCAATATATAATCAAATAAAAACTATAGCTAGGGCAAGTAAGGGTCGATCCCACGGAGAAATGTCGAACTTTTTAAAACCAATTAAGTATACAAACACGTTGTCACGAAATAAAATAAAAAAAACTACTACACAAATGTAATACTCATAAAACTTTTAATTAAATAAATATATAAACTTATAAATATAACTTATATAAACAAAGAACTTATAATATAACTTATAAACATAAAACACATACTTAAGATATACTAAAAAAGTATAAAACTTATATTTATAACTTATAAATTAACACTTGTTAAATAGACTTAGTAAATACTACCTCCGTCCCAGAGTATTTGTTCACTTTCATTTTTATACACCATCCAATACACTTCTTTAATCCATTTTATCTTGTAATTTGTATATTAAACAATTATAGAAATTATTTATTAATAATCTATATGTTAAGACAAATCAAACAAGATCACACATGATTATATTTAGGCTTACACATTGAGAGAATTTGATGAGTCAAAGTGCTTAGATGAACAGTTCCAAAAGTCAAAACTGGACGAATACTCTAGGACGGAGGGAGTAAAAACTTATGCTAATATAACACAAGGGGGGGGGGGGTTGAACAAAAAGTAAATATTTTTGGTTTTTATATTTTCTTATTTTTTGATTTTTTGATAAAATGTGGGAAAACAAGCTCAAAAGATAATCAACTTCTTCAACCAAGGTAACCCGAAAAACACCACCAAGAACCCAAAACAAAATTAAAAGAGAACTAACACAAGCTGAACATTACACGTATAATAGGCACGTAGACAATATATTACGT